GGTCACCATGCCCCTCTGCCAAGTGTCATTCTTTAGACAGGTGGTTCTCTAACTTTAGCTTTCATCAGAATCACATGAGGGCTTGTTAAAGCACATCACAGGGACCCCATCTGCAGAGTTTCTGGATCAGTGAGTTTAGTGTGGGGCTGAAAATACTGGGTTTCTAACAAGTTTCCTGATTGCTGCTGCATCTGCTACTGGAGAACACTGAGACCCACTGCTTCATATGAATGAATGCTCTAGAAACTTCTCCAGCATGGCAAGTCCAAGGGCTTTCAAAAGGTTTAATTATTATCCTCTAGCACAATATATCTTACTATGGCATGTAAATAATGTGATAAACTACACTTGCTGTTCCAGGTATTATTTTTGCTCGTCTGCAGCAAAACCCCACCATACTATGACAGGCAGGGCCAGAAAAATGTAAACAATTAAAATGTGGCTTTGCATATATGCAAAATTATAGGAAAAACCTGCACACCTGACTGGCTGGAAGGTCCTGGGTCTGGCCATACAAAAAGAAAAAAAAAAAAAAAAAAGGCTACTATACTAGCTACTGTTTGGGCCCGGCGCCACCTGGTGGTGGTTTTTGCTCTATCAGCCTACAGATTGATAATTCTAAGTAACGCGACTGTTAGGGAAGCTGGAAACCATAGTGGAACTGTCAAGAGAAAAGAAGACATGGATTTGGCAAAGTAGTCCCTACCTCTCGCATTTTTATATCATACAAATAAACTACCTTTATTCTTCACTGGTACAAAGATTTAAACAACACTTTTCTTCAGGCAGTACTTTTAGATTTATATTTTGGGACAGAATATAATGCAAATAATTTAAATTAGAAAACCTGACACTGTCATGCAAAGTTTGATTTAGCTTGATCAAATAGGAAGTTTCACACAATGTTTGCATCAAGTTATATTACAATTCAGAAAAAACACAGTCATATTTTTCTAAGTGAATAATAGAGTTCCGCTGGATTTCTTTCTATTGATTAGGGGCTTCCGCAAAAAAATCAAGAGCAAGAACAGTAAAACAGGTACGAAGGACCCAGGGATTGTAAAGTCCAAAGCGAGGTTTAAGACTACCTATGTAGGAGGTGCTACGATTTTGTCAAACTACTTTTGCCAGTCTTAGCTCACCCTCCGTCTTCAAGGTATAAAGGAGAACTTGAAGACTAAGGAAGGGCAGACCGGAGAGTTGGCAATGTAAACGTTTGTAAAAAGTATGGTGGTGTGTATGCTGTTGCGCGTTTCCGCACCCCGACCTTCGGGAAACGGAAAGGGAGCTGTGGTCTTATCACGTCCACCAGCTTCGTCACGACCGCTTGGAGAGACACCGAGAGACCTGAGGATGAAATATTCGACTCAGGCCCAAGCAATCGAAAGACAAAGGTGGTGACCCTTGCTGCCCTGTTGATGGCAAAGCAAAAGACACTTTGCTTCATCACTGACAAAGCGACAGTTTGTATTTTCTGAGGGTCCTGCGGGAAAAAGTAACTTAGAGTCATCTTCAAATTGAAGCTCAAGAATTTGCATCTCTAACAAGTGCCCGGGTGAGGCTGGCACTGCTGAGGCTGATCAGGAACCACACTTTGGGGACTTGAAGAGGATCTTCTCAGGAACAACCTTCTCTAGAGGTGTAACCATGGTAACGATACACTCCTGGTAACGGCAGCATAAGTCACGTATGTTTTGCTAAAGCAGAACATGGGAGCAGAACTGCTATGGAAATTTTCACAGATTATCACTTGCTTATCACGAAATCTTTTGTGAACTACTACTGAATTTCAGCATCACAAATATTAAATGAAGGCACTCTTATGACAGCTTTATTAAAATAAGATTTCTGTCCTTCTCCATTTCTCATTATTAGAAGGGTTGGAAAACTTGCTGAAATTGTGTAAACAAACCTGAAAAGACAATATAAAGGGAATGGCTTATAAAATAAACCTTTTATGTGTTTTGTAAACATTGATTTCTGCCGGCAACATTAACTGAATACTGTATGCAATAATGCAGTTGTTCGGAAGAGGGCGCTGTGGCATTACATTTACTTGTGTGCTGTCAGGCGAGTTTCTAAATGGTTTCTCTAAAGATTCATAAAGTAGAAAATGTTGATGGTCCCCTTACACTTCGCCTCTCCGTAGCATGTTACTGAGATTCAATAGTGACGACTTCAGAGCTTCTATTGCCTGGAACTAGATGAATTTTTACGAATGACTTGGTCTATTCTTGTCCGATCCACTGATGTTTTTATATTTGAGGCTCCTTACTTTTGAATGATGTGTTCCAGCCATTTAATCAAATTGCTTCAAAGATATAAGAAGTCCCAATTTTAAGAGCATTTTAAGCCAATTTTTATAATTGAGGGATGATTTGATGTGAATATTCTGTTGCTGCAAGGATTCTCTCTACTTGGAACCCAGAAATTTTTAAAATGTGCAGCTGTTTTTCCACACCATCTTCCCCTTTTTATCATCCATATTAAATATTGAAATAATTCAAGGAATATTTATTAAATTGCAAAGTGCTATTGTCATATAATATTCTATGATTGTACGTTATTCAGATTAACATTACAATAAACCAATGGCAAAAGAAGATTTTTAAAAATCAATCTTGCACAGATATGATATGAAATTTTGATAAAACTCAAAGTAACACTAAAATCTTCTCAGTTCAAGATTGATTAATTCAAAATAGAGTTGATATTGAAATATCTGTTTCTTCCTTAACCACGTAATTAATATTTCCCCATTGTTATACTTGGAATAATAGATAAATAGAGTTTGATTTTTTAAAAGTATAAGATAAAGTGTGAATTTTTAATTTACTCTATCAAACTCCTACTAGAAAAAGTGTGTGATGACTGGCCAGTAGGAGGAGAGGAAGGGGTGGTGTTTGTAAATAAAATATTTTTTTTCTCTAAAATGTTTAAAATACTCTCTAAAGCATCAAGGTCAGACTTCAAGTATTATTCTGTCTTACAAATGAAATTATAGGCCCTTACTCCTTAGACTGGAGGAGAAGCTAGGAAGTATCTATTTAATTATTTTACCAATAATTGCATTTGACAGAAAGTGGCAGAGACCTGGGACATAATGGCTTCATCAGGGAGACAACAGGATGTCCAAAGGCAAGCGGTTGCTGATTGGGCTGTGAAATCTCCAGTTCTTGCACTTTTCCTCAAGGGTGCAAGATGGCTGTTGACACTCCCACTTGATTATGAATTCCAGGTAGCCAAGAACAGAAAAGGAAGGAAAGGACCAAAGGACAATACCTATATTAAAAAGGCAAAAACTTAGTGTCCCACTAGATAGCGGCTCGCCTCTCGTTGCTGGAAAATAATCCATGTCCACCTGCGCCAAGGAAGGCTGGAAAGGTAGCCTTAAGCTGGGCACAGTGCCAACCCTAATGGAATTAGTTTGTTAACAAAAGAAGAGAAGAGCAGTTATTCTGTTCCCCACCGCTCTGTCGCAGCCTCTGTGAAAGTCTGCTCCTCATGAAGATGAAGCAGTGAGGCCCAGAGAGACTACGTGATTGTATCCATGTCTCAAAGCTGGTGGCAGAGGCAGGACTTTATGTACCACAACTTATAGCATCTTGTTTTTGAGTTGTGCATTGAATTCTACACATGTGACGGTCAGGTGGGGAAGCAATGGGACCTTTTGAAGCTCTAAAGATTTTGCTTTAGCGAGGGCATAATGTAAAGAATCTTAGATTATTAAAAGCTTGGCATGTCAGTTCACTTCTAATAAAATCACTGTAATTTTTTATGAAAAGAATGCAAAGAAAAGTAAAAACATAATTCCTAACCTCATAATGAAGTGATATTGTAGTTACAAAGGCATTAAAATATATTTTGAGAGGCTATTTCTTCAAAGTAAATATGGGAGATATTCCCTTATGTAAAACATAACTTCAGTAAAACTGTGGCCTTCTTCCTCTCCCAGACTGAGGGAGCAGCCCTCAGCTTTCTCCGGAGTGTGATGAAAGTGGAGGTCTAAATGCAGTCGCCACAGTGGTTATAACGCTTATGGCAGCAGCAAGTCAAAGCTGCTCTAAAAGAGGCTGCAGCAGAATTGCTTGTATTGCCCAAATGATAAAATTTGCTTTTCTAGAATAGTTCTGAACAGAAAATGTTTACTTCCTCTTGCCATTATCATTCAGCCATTCAAATACTTATTAAATTTATACATTCAAGAATATAACACTGTGTCCAATTGCATGATAATCCAAGAAGACAGTGTTGCCTGTTACTACTTATAACCTCGTACCGTAAGGAAGTGATAGGTAGAATTCTGAAAAGAAATTTTTTAATTGTTCAGTATTAAAGCTATCTCATTCATGGGACAGATGAGGAAACTACAGACTTGCAAAACAGAAATGATTTAATTCATTTAGAAAATAGAAAATGATTTTTGTTTATAATTTAACATATATTTAAGTTAGGCTGTGCACAGTGGCTCAAACCTATAATCCCAGCACTTTGGGAGGACAAGGTGAGTGGCTTGCCTAAGCCCAGGAGTTTGAGATTAGCCTGTGCAACATGGTAAGACCGCAAATCTACAAATACATACAAAAATTAGATGGGCATGGTGGAACATATCTGTAGTCCCAGCTCCTCGGGGGCTGAGGAAAGAGGTTCTCTTGAGCCTTGAAGGCAGAGGTTGCAGTAACCTGAGATTGGGCCACTGCACTTCAGCCTGGGTGACAGAGTGAGACCCTGTCTCAAAAACACACACACACACACACACACACACACACACACACACACACATATCACAAACACATATATACATATATATTTAAGTTACATGTAACTCTCTAGGTTATAATTTCATCTCTCTCCAAACATGAGGACTTATTTGAATATTATACTGAAATCGCAGATATTTACTGTTTTTCTTCCATTCATGATCTATGTCTGGGAAATAAAAGGGGAGCAAAATGTCCTAGTTTGCAATTCAGTTTTGTGTCATTTGTTTCTGATTGCAGTGGGAGAAACTACAGATGACCACGAGTGAAAGGAGGAAAATATTCTGCTCTGTCACATTCCATGTAATTGCAATCACCTGTGTGGTTTGGTCTTTGTATGTATTAATAGATCGGACAGCGGAGGAAATCAAGCAAGGCAATGACAATGGTAAGAGCACGTCTTTCTTCTTTCTTACTCTCTTGGATCCTAAAGACAATACTCAGAGGTGGATAGGGAAGTCATTTCCCCGGGTTAGGCCTTCATCATGTATGGTATACTAGAAAAACTAGTATTTGCTATTGATTCTTCCCTAATCATGTTATTGATTAGTACTCTGATTAAAAATTGCTAACTACATGGAGTCCCGAGCTGAGATGCGAAATTCATCAAATCCGTATAAAACTTAGGGGCAAGTTACATACAGACAGCAAACACCACTTCAGGCTTTTTGGGCACTGAATATGGATCAAGTTCTGCCTGAAGCGAAAAGGCAAATGGCTGTAAAAATGAAGAGTTTCTCATTTCATTTAATTCACTCTAGTCATCTGTCCTTTAAAGCATGAAAGACAGCGCATTCTGGTAGAGAATATGTTACAGCTTTGAGTTAGTACTATATAGTTTGATAGAGTGGGTTATCACCATGGTTTGACATTTTAGCCATGCGAAGTTTCATTGTGAAGGATAATATCAAGTCTGCAATGAAAAATTTTTCAAAATCAGTAAAGCATATTCTCACATTAAAATGGGTGGACCACTTAGAAACAAAAAGAGAAAGTGTAATGTCTATAAAAGATTATTTTCATGTGTGAAAGCACACAGTTATGTTTCTCATTGGGCTCCATAAGTTTTCATACGTTATCCAGCCTAAATCATAGGTGGCAAAACAGTGAGAAACGTCCCCACACCTCTGCAGGAAACAGTATTAAACCACTGACGCCTCTAGGAAAGACATTGTTCAGATGGTAACACTTTGAGATTGTAATGTTGTGAAAAATGTTTGCACATCCCTCCACCCAGCGAAAAAATGGAAGAAAATAAAAGAACAAAAAAATGAGAGGAGGTAAGAAAAAAAGAAATAAGGAAGATATTAAAACACAGAAAGGTGGATTACGTCTGTCTTTCTGCGTGTGGATTCATAAGCACGGGAGAGGACGCGCCATTCTCACACTCGCCCTCTAGGTGGCAGCAGCACATGCCAGTGTGCACCGCTCTGAGCGTTTCTCAAAGCCGAATGGGGCTGCGGGGCTAGAAGGGACGGCCAGGACCCACGATGGGAACTGTGGATGGGGTTTATGTGTCTCAGTGAGGGGACAGTGACAGCGTTTCAAGTGCCATTGTCCTTTTCTGGACGAAAATGAAAGCACTACCATGTCGAGTCTAAACGTTAGAAAAACAGGTAGGGTGGGGTTTTGTGGGGGAGGCTGTTTTTATGTGTTAATTTATTCCATATTAACTCATTTACATACCATTAATATCAAGCTATATTGTTCACAACTATATTATGTACTGTTTCAGAGATTCTTGCTTTTAAATGTCATATTACATCCTTATTAAATAAGTTTCTGAGGGTAGAGCTTTGTTTTACTTTTTTAGATCCCATATCCTCTCTGATATAGGTGCTGGCCCAAGCCAAGTAATGAACACTGTGCTGTAAAGACTGCTGTCACACATGAATGGAAAAACAAAGAGGCATCCCCACTTCGCTTCGCCCAGTGTCTTACCTTAGACTCTAGTGCTTTCCTAGCAATCCAGGGCAGACATGCTACCCTTAGATTAGATGACACAGAGGTCCTGTTTATAAATAATGCTGAACTCTCAGGTTCCTGGTGGCGAAATGCTCTTGGATTTCCCCAGTCCATGTCTCCTGACCCAACTCCAATAGAGTTCAGGATTAGGAAGATGTATGGGATTTGTGTGTGTGTGTGGAAAAAGATTGACAAATTTTACTTTTTAATTCATTTTTGCCTTTTCATTCAACTTTTTAAAATAATGTTACTTTTAACCTGAACATCCCAGTCTCCCTCTCTGCCTTGCTAAAAATAATCTTGCCCAGCGTCAGACTCCCAAGAGTCTAAAATGAGCTGTGAAGTCCGTCTGCTTTTCTTTGTCTAAAGTGTTTTCACTTGCTCTTTAAATGTAAATTTCCCTACAAACTGTGGACTGATATGTGTGGTTCTAGTGGCACTAGACTTTAAGGCTGATGCATTTTGATTCCTTTAACTCTAACTTGTGAACATTTCAATATCATATTGAAGGGCAAGACTATACAAACTATCTTAAGCCTTTCCTGGAAAGCCTACTAGCATGCTGATTGTTCTGGAATGACCTGGAGGGTGCTGCAGCCTCCAAGTACCAGATCACATATATGCAACTGTAAAAAGGAGGTCTGGAAGAATTTACTTCAATAATCATATTAAATCAACAAAAATATTGAGACTGTTGGAGAACTTATTGCTCATCCTTGTGGGATTAGCATAATATGAATGTGAATGAATCAGCTAAAGTTATTATGAGAGACTAGCTTTCTGTTTTCTCAGAAAATGGTGGTAGAGAGAATGCCTCCTCTTCTAATTGCTGTCCAAGAATTTCCAATAAATATTTCCCCTTAATGCTTGAGAGGTAAAGATGGGCAGAGAGTTTATTACTCAACTTACAGAAAAAGGATTCCAGACACAAAGTCAGCAATAGAGATAGGTTCTTGGGCCTCAGAGAAATGAACAGATGATTGAATTGCCTGAAGTTAGATTCTCCAAATTCCTCTGTTAAATTGGCAAATAGAAACAACTTTGTCCTCCTGGCATTTCGAAGTGCAGGATACAGCTTCAATATATATTACCAAGGACAAAGATACCTTGAATTGTACATCCCCAGGGAGAAAGACCAAGTGCCTTCCTTTCTCTACCATTGTCCTTTTTTTGTTGTGTACATTCTTTTGTCTTTGCTAAAGACAGCATAGAAACTGACTAGTCTAACAGAATGTAAGAAGACAATTGGCTATGTCTCAATAAAAAGAGGCAAGTACATCTTAGTGACGAAAACATTCTTGAAAAATCCATTTAGCCTCATTTTAGCATCTTCTCTCAAGATGTCTTTAAAGTGGGTTTTCCAAGATAGAATCCTTATAACCACTCAACAGTAATTTATTTTATAGGAAACAAGAGTCTTGTCCACTTAGTTGAAGAAAGTGGTCATCTGGACAGTGAGTTTATGCCCAAATGGCTTTCGTATGTGGGGGTTGCGGTGCTCTGCACTCTAAACTTAATGCAAGGATTTTGGGGGAGATTTAACTTCCCAGGAACATATTAAAAGATGGCTTAGGCAGAGAAAACTGACTCAGAAATACCTTGTGAAGGAAAGTGGAGGAATCAGGCTGAGTCTCCCAAAAAGGGCAGAGAAAATGGCAATTATTTACTCCTGGCCCAGATTCCTGGGTAGATTATGGGCTTTGGTCACTATTTCTAGAAAGCGAGGTGAAACATGAGTGGACTTTTCTTTAGATTGTCCACCCTCTAAAGCATAGCTTCACTGACAGTGAAGATAAGCTGTAAAAGCTTTCATTCATCCTTGAAATAGTTATTGAGTAAGGAACTATGGAAAACAAAGGCCAACCCAGACAAATTATGCGCTCGTCAAGATTATAGCATGACAAAGTAAAAATCCTTAGGTTAGAAACTGAGCTCATACTGCAGATGGAGAAATAACATCAAATTGGAACAGTGGGAAAATTTATTTCAAGCTGGAAATGACCTGTAACTGGGTTTTGTGGGACAGGTAGACACATAGAAGTAAAGCGAAACCAAGAAGGAAAAAAGATCATAGACAAGGATTATAGACAAAGGCTCAGAAATGGAAAACCTCCAGGCAGGTATGAGGAACAGCTGCTAGTTTGGGTAAACAGAGGGGAAAGCTGGATGTAGTTCATGAGCATTTCCCTAAAAATGGGAAATAAAGCACATTTCATCTCCAGCCTGTCTGTGGTTAACCTTTCTAAACACATTGAAACTACTGCTTAATATAATAGCTTATGGCAAAAATCCATTTGAATTTGGAGAACTGCAAGATGTCTCATTCATATTCCAAATCCTTTCTGCAAATTTCCCAATAAGGAGTCATCAGTTATTGTCTTACGCAGTAGGGATTCTCAACGTCAGCACAGTGGACACTATGAACTGGATAATTCTTTGTTGGAAGGTGCTGTCCTGTGCACTGTAGGATGTCTAGCAGCATCCCTGGCCTCTAATAAAAGTCAGTGGCACCCCACCCAACTCCAGGTATGACAATCAACAATGTCTCTAGACACTGCTAAATATCCCCCGGGGAACAAAACCGCCCCCAGTAGAGAACCTATGGTCTACTCGGAGTCTTGTGTTTCAGATGATTGTTCTCCTTGCATAGCTGAAGACAGCTAAGTAGGAGCTTAAACAACAACAACAAAAAAAGCCTTTCTATATTCCAAATGCATGGACTTTCTGCATAGAGAATAATTTAGCTCTTTTTATTTGTAACTACCATTTGATGCCACTGTGTTACTTAGCATACAGGAAAAATGGAAACAGAGTCCATTCATGTGTAAATGTGTGCTGCCACTTATCAGGGAATATGAGAATCATCACATATTCCTGATTATTCTTCAGAATTCCTTAAATCATTTATAAAGACTTTGCCTTAAAATATTTTTAAATAAAAATAGCAAGTTAACTGCTATTTCCATGCAATACACAAATCAAATTTCAACACTATCAAAGATTACTAGGTCAAGATCATTGGACAATAATCTCTGCCTTTGCATGAAATAGCACAAGGAAGAGAAGGGAGAACTGAAATAGATGGTCTTTAAAGATCTTTGAACTCTGAATTTTCAGTTCAGTTCTTTTGTTAGAACACTAGAAAAATCAAGAATAAAACAATATTTATTGTATGGGCCTGATACTTTCTTTAAAAACATTTTTATAAGAAAAAATGATTCTTTTGAAATGGAACCCCCTTGACTTTTTTTTCCAAAAATAAATAATATATGTAGGAATACCTAGAATATGTTTAAAGTGTAGAATATATGTTTTATTATGAACAACATTGTGAAATCTTTAGATGAGGACCAAGTGCTGCCAAGTAGAACAACACTTTTTAAAAGTTGCACTAATGGTCAAAAATTATTATTACTGCTTTAA